TTATAGCGATCAGACTTTAGTGATCACTCTCGAACGGTAAAAATAGATAAATATCCCTTTTCAGGGATGATTTGACTGGCAAAGTCCTTTATTTAACGCTTCTTTAGGGTTTATTAAACAAATTAATTTACCTTAAATTAAAATCCTGTTTTTTATTCAGATCATTAAATTAAATAGAACTTAAGTAATAAATTCACTTATAATTAACTACTCAGTAACCCCATTAAAGCTTCGGGTACTTATTCTTACTTTATGTTCCAAAGTCTACAATATTATAAGACTTCTTTGACTGAAATAGATCAAATAAGTTCCTAATCTCTTAAGCACCACTAACAAAGTCGTGTACCTAAACCAATGTAGTTATTATATATACATACATATGTTATGGAGTATGTAATACTGACTGTATGAACTATTGATTTTCATACTGTTATTGGGTGCAATGCTAAAACTTTACTCCATCACTCTTGTTCTGCTGCTCATTGAATAAAACAGCTACATCGCACCATCTTTCGACTTTATTTTTGTCCATATAGGGATATCATTCCTTAAAATATTAATTCAGCAGCGACCAGGTTTCAAGTTTGTTAACGGATTGATATCGGCTAAAGAGCCATTGAAAACCACCAGCGACTACTGGACAACTTTTTTGTTCTAGTGTGAGACTCATCAGCATTACGCATCCGCCTCCGGCGCTCGGACCCTGGACATTCCGGTTACAAGGCAAGCTTGTTAACAATTCAGCCACTGGGACCCAGAAATTTCTGCGTTCGAATCCCAGTGGGTGCATACCGCTAATTAATCTCAAATTAGGATAAAACAGCTGTCCAGTACTCTCTGATTTTCAATGGTTCTTTAACGGATATCAATCTGTGATCAAATCCCTACAAACACACTGATGAAAGTGATCAGTTGGTATACTCTGACCCTATGAGTCAATATGGTAAAGCTGAGATAAGGAACTTTATAAAATGAGATTTCTATCAGTGTGGATCTGGCAGCGGTCCTGAAATTTTAAGAGCTAATAGTTCGTGGATATTGGCGCAAATATCATCACGGTATGTAAAGTCTAGGATCTTGAAAATCTGATCTAATTGTTCCATCCTTCGTAAATTTGCCTTTATTATAGTTTCATTACAGTTGTTTCCTCTGCTACAGTTGCTTGTATCAATTACATCAAAATATGTTGTCTGCTTGGTGCCATAAATGGTGAGATGAGTAGAAGCATTCCACTCATATTAACCAGTAATGCTTGCTGCCAGCCAGATCGGAGTGATCTAAACTGTGAATTTAACTTATCGTGTGAATAGACCGCCCAAGTAGATAATGAGAAATCGGGCTATTTGAAGTGACTCGACACTTTGAGCTGAGTCAAACCTGTTACACCACAGTGATAAGCTAAGCCCCATACGTGTGAAACAACCCTCCAGTGTGTTGGATCACTTCGATCTGGCTGGCTTACAAGCACTTCTAGTTTATATAAGTGACAGAATACAGCTATTTATCTCATTCAATCAGTAGTTTATAGTCTTAGCAGAAGTATCGTTTCTATGAAATACAAAATGTTAAGTTAATATATGCGTAAACTTTGGGCACTGTGGTAATAAATAATTCCATATTAGTTAGTTTATTAGATGTATCACACAGTGATGAAACAGTATTATTTACTGGATGACGTTTCGAACAGAATTTACTGCGGTTCATAATCATATCAATTATAATCACACGACTTCGAAACCTGAGTTTTATAGTTTTTTTGTTCTCTCCTATATGTCGGTGGGGTAGTAGAATCTTCCAGATATCTAGGACAGGTAGAATCATTCCTAACACACGTGTTTGCAGTTTATTCGATAAATAAAGCTCCCCTTGTCAATCTCTCCCTCCACCCTGCTGTTACATTAGATTTTAAAATTATCATCTTATCCCATCCAGCCTATTGTATGGTTGTGTGTAATTGCATGTAGTGGGTGCTAAAGCTGGACCCTTCGAAAAAACTACAGACCTTCATCAACAGCTGTCTTCGCTCAACACAACTCAAGATCAAATGGCAGAAAAGATCAGCAACAAATATCTCTGGCAATGAGCGAACCAACCTCACAGGAACTGACTGTGCAACAAATATTTAGGAAGAAATAGGTGTGGATTAACCATACTCTGAGAAAAAAAAACTATCACGTGACATCATACACCAGGCCATCATTCGGGTGGAACCTGAATGTGAAGAGGCGAGTTGGTCGTCAGTGTGAGGGTGACGTGGAGGAGGTCATGCGAAGAGAAGATGAAAGCATGTGGGTAGACGTGGAGGTAGGTGAAAACGTTGTTAGAGAACTGAACGCAATTGTGACGAGCGGCTGAAGCCCAATGTTCCTCTAGAAACTAAAGGGAACAATACAATAACAACAATAACAATAAAGGTAACAACTGGCTGTCAGAAATCAGCCAGTGGTCCAAGGAAAATGGTCTTACCTTAAACCCTCCAAATGCCAAACAGTCAATTTCACCTTTAGGCATAAGTCCGACCTAAACAAACTGGTTAGCTCTCACGAGGTATGCAACACAGATGGCACTGAAATAGAAACCATCTCGGAAATTAAATACCTAGGCGTCATTCTATCCGCTGATCTCTCCTGGTCGTCTCATATCTTAGCGATTTCTAAGAAAATATTCCGTCTTACCTTCTACATCAAGAAGTTAAAACATTCTGGTATTACCCAACCCTTACTCCTACAATTCGTTAATTCTCGCATTCTGCCTATTATCCTCCATTGTTCCCCCTTAGTTTTTCCAGGGCTACTGAAGAAAGACTATAACATATAACGCAGGATGTTAAAGGTTGTCAGCAGGGTAAGCAACGTGCCACTTAACCAGCTTGTTAATATTCTGGTCGACAGGCACATGGACTCATGCGAAAAATGGGCCAAATCCATTTTATCTAACTCACACCACCCTCTTCGCTCACAACTCTCCCCTTGCATATCATCAGGCAAAACCAGAAGCCTATATAGAAAACTATGCGCTCGCACTAGCAAGTACAAAAACTCAACCATACCCTACTTAGCTCGTGTTCTGTGTGATAAAGAAAGCATTAGGCATGACACCTATAATTTATTAAATAGTCAGTAGAACAACTGGACCTTGTCTTTCCAACTCACATCATCAATAGGTACAACATTTTCTTTCTTTCTTTTCCTTTTCTCTCTCTTCTTTTTCCGTTATGTGCTGCTTTGTTTCTTTCTCTCGCTTACGCCAGTAAATATGACAGCACCTACTTTTCTAACACCTTCAAACACTGTTCAGCTTTGGCTTTGCTACCGACATCCCAATATGTTGTTGTCATAATGAACTGAAATTTCCTTAGTCTATGTAGAATTTTATTTATTGATAATGTACTAACTGGATGCAATACTGTAGTAAGAATGCTGAGAATTCCATTCTGTATCACAAATACTGCTTTGGAATAAAGCAAATTACTATTATTATTATTAATTGATAGTTGGGCATTTATCCAACCTGACATGTGAAGAGATTTTATGAGTAGGACATGAAAGCTTATGGGCACTACTAGAGTCAACTAAAAGAGACTTCAATGGATGGAGTGAAGAGTCGATGTGTTTTCGAAACCCCATGTTCCATTAGGAACCCAATGAGATCAATAATTATAATAATGATAAAAATAGCGCCATTTGATTCTTCATTTTAACAAGGTGAATATTCAGTTTTATGTGAACCTTTACAATATCATATAATGTTCCTCTGATTCTCTGGAATGTTGATATTTGTGACCAAATGAAAGAGTGTTTAACTTTTTTTATTACTGATAAACAGTGACAGGATAAATTAAAGTATTACATGGTCATATTTGCACATAATTTCAATGAACTTTTAAAGTTCAATCTAAAACAGAACATATTTCCAATCAGCCAGTCAGTCAGTATTACATAAATCTCTATGCAATTTTCTTATGCGAATGTTGTTATGAATGAAGTTATCCCCCTGAATAAATTATCATTCTCTTCTTAAAAAAGAGATTTATGTTTAAGGTTATTTAACCAATCATTGAGGAACACGCATTGTTCAGATAATTCTTATTGGTGTGTATACACGCAGATATTGTGTCATTTTTTTTTGATGCACACTAACCAAAAACACGAAAATAGTTTGTCTTAGGAAACATTTTATAACTTTTGTAGACAGATATACAAATTTATGTATGCCCATATTTCATTTAAAAATATATGCATATATATATGCATTATTTATTAAGCTAAAGTTATGCAGGCAAAGTTTTTTATACGGAGGGGCGTGTATAAGTCATCGAGGTTTCTTCCCCTTCCTTCTCCTTTGGGGAAAAATAATCAAACATGATCCTATATGGAAGTGTGTAATGTATGTAAATGCACACACACCTATGCAGCTTCACTTCAAAATGTCTCGACAACTGGACATTTATTAAAATTTTTAGAAACATTATTCATATATTCAATATGGAGGAGAAAAAGAACTACCACTCTACCAATAACATAATGTGTTGTATAACATTATGAAGGAGTAAAGTGTACGTAGATTATCGTGTAAGTTAGCTAACACAATGTGTGCCACATCTCTCTTAATGCACACACCCTCACACATACACACACAGATATATTTATTGGTGATTTAACTTCATAATGACAACAGAAGCAAATATTACACATATAGAACAGATACTACCCTACACGCTACCATGCATGCATGCACGCAGGCACTCATGGATGGATGGATGGATGAATCTAGAGACATTTACACGCCAATTGAATGGTAACACACCATGAAGTAACTTTAAATGTGTGCTTTATATTTACACCAAAATGTTTTATGTGAATGGTGTGCAAAGAATTAGGCAAGAGAGAGAAGGCAGTGGAATGAATACTTTCTAATTTGCCTATCTGGATTTTCTCTAACACGGATATACGCGCATGCAAGCACACACACACAATTGTACATTCCCCAAACAATAATAACAATAGCAACAACAACATCCACAACGAAAAAAAGTTACAGGGATGTTCATCACATTATCACTATTGTTATTATATATTTTATACATACAGGCTAAAAAAAACATTCCGTTAACCTGGAACTGAGGCCTGACTAGTTTTCAGTCTCTCTCTCTCACTCTCTCTCTCTCCATATCTCTCACTGGAGAAAAACTGATTGTCTCACTCAAAATTATAACCAACTGTTATAAAATAATCTAGTAGACAGACTGTAGATACTTCCACTTTTGTGCGTTCATCTTTGTATCTCTGTGTTTGTGCGTTAATGTGGGTGCATGTGCATGTGCGTGTGCGTGCAAGTGAATGAGTGCTTTGCATACAAATATTCTGAATCTGTGCAACAAGAATTACTTGTAATATGATATTGCATGTTATCTTGTAAAGAAGTCAACGCTAGATTATTATTACTATTATTATTATTAATACTACTCTATAATTTACGAACAGCTCATATGCTACAGTACAGAGCAGAAATATATACAATGTACTATATACAATGTTATTACAACAACAATATATACACTTAGAATATTTATTTATAAAATGTGTGGACATATTACTAGCCTAAAAAAGAAACAGTTTATTATATATATTTATATATAGTATTCAAAAGTAATTGATCAAATCTTCTTATTGAGTACTGTTCATCGCAATCGACTAATTCGTCTTTTTAACGTATAAAGAAGACAAATAATAACAAACAGTTAACATGTACTTTGAATTCAAACTTAATAATCTACTTCAATTTGTATATCAATTTGTTTTATACAAAGGCAAATCGAAATCTGTTGGAATTATAGTGTACTTGTTATTGGTACAGTTGATTATCTGTCAGATTAGTTCAGTTGAAGGAATACGATGGTTGTAAGTTAATGCATTTCATTTTCATTGTTGTTTTTTTTTTTAAATTTTCATCATGTATATTCATTTTTTTAATTGTTTGATATGTTTATTTCTATGTTGAAACTAAAAATATGATTACGCAACAGTTTGGTGCAGTGTTTGTCAACCATGCGAGTGGTTTAGGTTCAACTTCCGCCCAGCACATTCCTAAATCCTGCCTAACATACTAGCATACAGTAGTAAGCCGAGAAAATAAAGGGTGTGAGGCTAACGATCCCATTTTGAGCAAATAATGCCACAGCTACTGAAAATTCATGCCTCATTTGAAGCTTGATGCTCTTTGTTCCACTTGGAAGGCTAAGAAATGAATAGAACAAGTTGTTATCGTTCTTGAACAATGTACTTTAAAGTTTTCTTAGCAATGAGTTTATTTTACACTGTATGTCAGCGGTTTGGAGGTAGAATGCTTGCCGGTTATGCATGCGGTTGGCAGTTCGATTCCTGGTCGGCGCACAACTTTACCTGCCTTAGTTGGTTTGTACGCCTGACAAACGGGGAAGGTGTGGCGTGAGGCTAGCAACCCCACTGCTATTATTAAAACTTCAAGGCTAAAGCTTAAAGCCCAGTGTTCCACTAGGAACAAGAAGGAGCTACATGATATATGGAGTTACTGACCCCATGCTCAACTTGTCTTTTTACTATGCTTAGGATCGGTTTTTAAACTAGCTTAGGTTTAATGACACTGTGGTAATATGTAATTCCGTCTGGATTATTAGTCATTTACCGGACAACGTTTCACTGTGCGACATCCAGTAAACAAATTAATCTGGAATCTTATTATTATTTTGTTTTAAACGTATTCTATTGTAAATCAAAAAATTATAACATTTTTTTGACTTTTACTGATCTAATAATAATATTTTATAGTGTATCTGATCAGTCCGAATACAGTATTTTATCAAGTAATGAGTATAAAATAATGCTTCGCTCAAGATTTGCCTGAAAGTGTGGTAAAATGAAGTAAAGTTTCTAGTGCGCCGGTGGCACAGCGGTAGAATGCTCGCCAAACGCGCGTCATGTGGTACGGGGTTCGATCCTCGGCCGACGCACTCACTCACCTCGATAAGCCAGCAATAAGACTGGTAAAGTGGGAAGGTTGGGCTGGGCATGGGGCTAACAACCACATCCTGTAAAAATAAATACCACTGCTACCAAAACTACAAGCCTCTAGCTTGAAGCCCCATGCTCCACTGGGAACGTAAAGGAATAAAAATAACTCAGGTTTCTAAGGTTGATATTAGCTCGTTTCTGTATTCCTAAGCTTGATAGTGATTCTTTTTCACGGTAGCCTCCATAATGTGATAGTTTGACATGGGATAACTCTACCGATAACTGATATGATGCGACATTAGGTACTCAAATTTCATAAGAAAATACTTATTTATATTATGGATAGGTCCATTTATTTTCCTCACAACATACTAGTGAGATTCTATATTCGTCTCACTTATCATTTGTATTAGATATTGTTTTTCCCAGAAAGTTAAGATAGAAATTTTTGACTCTGTAATAAAGTGTGCTCTAGTAACCCTGTAGCCTTTAAATAGAATGTAATGGCACTGAGGTCACATTCACAGACCAAATCATTTGTAGGGGGCCAGCCAAGATATAATATCATGGCAGTCTACCTAATCTAGAGTAGATGACCACATTAAGGTGAGTAATCTTGCAGTAACATCAGCCAATGCTACTCACGTGATAGTATAGTCGCATGATAAATTAGGGCAAAAAACAATGGCTTATAACCCTAATTAAACTGACTGAATGGAGACCGTCTTCACTGAATCCCTATTCATCTAACATCATCAGTCGTGAATAATATTAACAATAATATAACACCGCAACTTAGTGTATAGTCCGCATAATTCTGAAAGCCTTAGGAAAGATGACTAGAGGCCGAAATGGGTGGATAAAGTGGACAGAATTACTTTGAACTAAGTCCGACTCGTATCTGTACCGCATTTTCAGCTGTAAGATATTATGGTCAACAAATTCATGCATTCATGTAGGTAGAATCATTCATGAGTATGACTGATGATCTGTTTTCCGTATATTCATCAATATATGATATGAAAAGCCGACGGAGTGCTTTGTTTGAAAGGTTGCTCATTTTGAGCACATATTAGTGCATATTGGTAGCCCAATCGTTAGTAATGTAGAAATATACACGAATCAAACATGGTGAACCATTTTTTCCAAGATGGATATGGTAGTTTCTGCTCAGGGTCTTGGACTGCAATTTGATGTTAAATGGTAATAGGAATCAGTTTGGAGTATGCTTTGCATTCAGGCATAACAGCCTTCAGGGAAATATTCCATATCAGGTAAATTTGTTTTATATAGCAAACAACGATATAGTATTAATGACTGGATGACGCTTCGTACACAATATACTGCTCATATTCACATCAATGTATTCACACTACTTTTTAACTTGCTTTGTATAGCACTAATCTGGCATGGTTTTCTATATGTCGCGACAGATGTTGAGTCATTTCTGCTGCATGTATTTCACACTGACTAGATGAACAAATATCCTACAATCAGCCTCTCTCTCTATCTCTCTACATTTAATTGTATTAATTTTTAATACTCTTACCTCATCACACCTACACCATCTCGGGCTTAGACGAGATGTCTGGTTTGCTGTCGACCAAAGGGTGTGTGTACTGCTCCGCCGTTCACTTCGTCCTTTTTTATGGCTGTGAGACATGACCATTGAGAGTGGAAGACATGAAAAGGCCAGCTAGCTGTCTTTGATCATAGATGCCTGAGTTCTATCTCCTGTGTGAAATGGTATACTAGGGTGAACAATATTGGGGTTAGGCTTCGGTCGAGTGCTAGGTAAGGAGGAGAGATCAATCGATGAGGTTGTAAAGCAGTTGCATCGATTGAGATGGTTAGGACATGTGTTACACATGCCTAGCCATCATCTTCCTCGACAACGGGTAATCTTAGCTGATATAGGACCAATGAGGTTGGAAATGAGCCACTGATAGTCAAACGAAAACATGGCATCAGTCAGTGAAATCCACAACAGTCAATTTAAGTCAGCCACGTGGGGAGGTGTAGACTGACTTCCTGGTTGGGTTCCTCAGGATGGCAAAAGCCAGTGAAGGCTGGAGACAATTGGTGGTATGACTAAAAATTGTTTTCAGGGTGGCTAGCGCAGATGCATTCACTCTCCGTGATTCATCCCATCCAATAAAACTCTATTGTTCTTCCGTGTTACTATTCTTTTTGTTTGTTATTTCTCCTTTGAACCTCTTTTTACTCTATTCTCTTACTTTGTGTGCAAAAGGATGGAGTGTGGCAACTCAAACTGCTGTACATCTGTTCCACGTTGAAAACAGTCAGTCAGTCATATGTAAGTGCATGCATACTTACACAACTTTATTCTTTAGGATCAGTCAATGTAAAAATGGCAAAATTACCAATTTCTGATAACCTAACTGACTCCGATCCTATAAACTGACCTATACAGTTGATCTTATACCCATTAAATTCTATTTGGTAAATTATATCATAGTGCTTAAGTGGACCAAATAGACAGATTTAGGATTTTAAATTCACATCAGTAATATTACATTAGGTATAATAACAGAAGGACTAGTTGTGTGAGTAGTGTGATTACAATGTTAAGGACATGTTAAGTTACTGCTCATTCCCTTTGACAGCTGGGAAAAACCCTCGATTACAGTGAAATGAAGACGTGGCTAACAACAACTGGGCCTAAGAGACCACTCGGTTGAGAGCCAAGCTAGTAATTTAGTAATTATTGTTTCCACACTTCACAGAAAGCTAAACTTGTGTAAGTGCTCCGCCAACGAAAGATAACTTTTATGATGGGTTTTGTGACAAAGTTACTGCAGATGTATTATACAACCTCAATGGATGAGGTCTATTATCGGTAAAAAGTTTTCCTTAAAAGGAATTCTTTTGATTTTGTTGGTGACTTCACTGACAAAGACAGCGATCTTCCACTGTCACTTACACTTCAAACTGATTTTGCCATTCATGTGAGGAATATCAATAACCTGTATGCCCGTTTCATTACAAATGTGGCAGCTAGTGGTGGATTTCAGAAGCCGTGTTCCACTTGGACCACAGAACTTCATCAGCATACCTTCATTTCATCGTGTTCCCTGCGGTTTATTTCAGTTGGCTCCACGATAACTCTTAAACTTTCATATCTTCCACATTACCCTCGGATGCCCGAAACCCACCTCGCCATCCGGACCTCTCTGGTTTCGCCACTCAGTGGTCTCCTCAGAACGTAATGTCATAAAGAAGTGCGTCGGTGGCACAGTGGTTAGGACTCTCACCGACCATGCACATGGTCCGGGGTTCGATCCCCTGCCGACGCACACCCGATATCTGTGGTCAGGCTGCAAAATTTGGGCTACCGATATCCACGCTGAAAATTTCATACTTGTACTGAAAATACGGTGTGGCAGTAAACTGTAATTAAAAAAATAGTATCGAATGGTTTGTTTTAAAAATTGGGGCAATAAAAACAAACTGGCCATCTACTTCATAAAATAAGAAAGAAAACACCATAAGTACCTATTAATGTGTTATCACCACGAATAGTGATCTTGATAAGTGTGTTTACAAAGTGTTTACCGTTAGAGTACATTCAAAAAATCTTGCCTACTTAAGTAGCTTGTAGGATATTGCTTTCGGTTATTAATTTCATTTTCATTACTAACCTACTTAAACATCCCTTAACCTAATGGTATTATAAGGTAAAAATAAGTCAAGAATATTTCGCTGGTGTAAGCAGGCATATTGTGTAGTTTTATGCACTTACAATATCACCTTCACTTATCATTTATGATGTAATTAGCTCCTCTAATGAATTTATTCATTTACGGCTATGATTTGCAGTTTATCATCCTTGGAGCTGACGAAGCTATCGGTAATAAACAGCGCAACGATAGTATAAAAACCTTGTTGCC